ATATAATTTAGTGTCATTTTATTTTTTGGTCTTATTTATGTTATGATCTTACCCATTTTTGACTAGTCTTATCTCCTGGCATATTATCGGTTATCGGCTGTTAAAAGGAGAAAGTTATTGGTATCGGTTCTTAGAATAAGTTATCGTGCATCCCTAATTTATATATTTATGCTTTTATTTGTAATTATGTCAGTTTCAGTCCGCCTGACTTCACAAAAAGAAAAAATGTTCCTGTTTGTCAAAACTTCACATTAATATTCACAAACCTTTCTCCTTCTTTTYGGTGTTGAAGCTAGTTTACAGTCTGCACGTGAAGAACTTAATCCAGATTGAAAATCCTGTAAATGTTGTGTGAGAGAAGAAAAATATGTGTGAGTGATTATTTACTTTACATATAAACTGTAATAAATCGTAATAAAAGTTGTAAAATTCTCAGATAAACTTAAAATCCTGCAGCTCAGTTAATGTTTCAAAAAAAAAATTAAAAGCAAAGCTCCTATTTTGAAAGTTCACCTCAAAGCGCGGCGGGTTGCTGGAGTCTCTGCAGTTGTACGTTATCTCCTCGCCTGGATTGATTTCCCTCAATGCAAACAGGCACAAGTGAGGCTTCCCCTCATAAACTACCTTCTTCATCCGACAGTTWGGACTCCCGTGGTCGYAGTTYACCAGTCTGCCGAGGGAGTCGCCCTCGTCTGAAGCATCGAGGCTGCAGGAGAAACTTCGCTATGACAGAACTGCTTTTTCATTCAAAGTGATCGTATTTAATTAAAAACAAAAAACCTACCACCACTGTTCTCCTTTCCATGAATACTTCAAAATGAAACCTTTGAAACTATTTTGTCTCTTTTCAGAAATCGGTCCTTGTGAACAGATTTTTCCTCGGTATTCAACAACAAATGCAGAAGGTTTAATGTTTTCACGGGTAAACACACCTTTTCCTGGAAAAGAAAACACAACCTTAAAAACAGTTTTACTGACCGGCAGACAAAATGGAAAGAATAAACGATGTATATATTAAAAAGTGCAACTCATACGTTTTAATTTGTGTATAAACCGTTCCTCCAGGAAGGGTTTGTCTCTGCGAGCAGCGATGTGCTCCAGGGCGTCTTCCTGAGCCGACAGGTCTGTTGTCTTCTCACTCATGGTTGCTGGAAACCACATTTAAATCTGTGATTTAGAGATCTGCAGTGCACACAGACTCACACATCTTACTGATAAAAGTTGTAACGCTTTCTAACAAGCAGCCAAAAYCTAAATATAACATGGTTTTTAGCTTTTTCACCCTTTCGGCCATTTCTTTCCCCATTGACAATGAATGGAGCTGTTTTCAACATCTCCTGATGCATCTCAGTAATACAGGTAGAAAAAAAAAATGAAAAACTGTCTCCGCATGTTCAGCAAACCTGAGCTCCTAATGTTCCTTATGCTAATTTAGGCATTTTCAACTACATTTTAGCTGTTTTACTGCACAATTTGGCTGTTTTATCTATTTTACAACAAATCTTTTTTGTCACTTTTTTGTACTTTTATGCTTTTTCTGCTAATTTGACATTTTGTACACCTCTGGGTACTAATTTCAACTTGTGTCTGCTAACTTTAGCTTTTTTCTGCAAAGTTAAACTTTCAAATTGAAGTTGCATTATTGTTTTTTTTTTTTTGCTATTAAAAAATCAGCTTCATTTCAAAAGGCATTCACATTAGCATTTTTGCATGAAATACTTTCTCTAGTTTTGTTTATTGTTACAATTATTTCCATTTTTTGTAGTTTTCCAAACTATTCCTGATAAATATTTCATTACAGCTGCACTGTGCTCTAAACAGTATTAAGAAATATTTAAACACTGCTTAATGAATATAAATATAGTATGTAAAGTGAAATACTAGGTCACACTGTGTTTTACAAACAATTGTTTTCATACACAGCTGCACACAAACAACGTACAACAAACAAACTGTAAAGACAAAAATGAACTAGAACATGTTATCTTTATGAATGTGCATCATAACAAATAATTCTTCTGATAAAACGAAACCAGTGCTTTTAAAGYTTGCAACAATGCTACTTTCTTAGCTAACTGGATCACAAACTCACCTGCTAACCCTTAGTGTTAATTCAATACTGACTTCCGGTTTCAACACGTGCTAGTATTCCTTTAGCTAGACACTATTTGACTCGTTTTTTGGCACGTTAGAATAAAATACTTTTACCTGCACTTCTGCATCAAAAAGTAGAACCAAAACATGTACAGGGGCAGCCCACAACACAGCAACCATCTTTATTTTACTTAAACGACCAAGAACGGACTGTGTCGAAAGCGGCCAATCAGCGACTGTTACGTCATTGATTGACAGTCGGAGCAGCCAATCGACGGGCGCGTAGAGGAGAGCCACCGAAGGAACTTTATAAAAGGGTAAATGTTAGCCTGGCCCTTACCTTCCTACGCAGCTCCGCTCAATTCTTGTTTCCTTCTCTGCTCCGTCTGGAACTTCTCCCATTGAGAAGGAT